GATGCTTAATCTATTGCACTCTTGAGACTTCTCCGATTTGTACTTCTCCGATCAGTTTGCTCTCCTTTTTACTCTTGTTCTCGGTGGATTCCGGCCACCCCTGGTCCGACGATCCATCAGTTAAAAATGGAGGTTATTCCCTTTGCAAAATGCATGTTTGCTATTAAGAAGCATGATGAACATTTTGAACTAAATGTAGTTTTCTCTCTTTTGGGCTATAATTTGAGACCACTTAGATGTATTGAGCAAAGAACTGCAAAATTTTGCTAGAGTGAAACAAATTTGAATGAAAGATATTTCTGTTTAGCAACCAAAATCCTCCCATCGAATTATCGAAATATGATTAAGTTGGTCCTCCTCATGGCAAGGAGATACGTCGTTTTCTATACCCTCTTTTTCTTGCATTTCATTTTATTATAAAGTACATGCTTACCATTATTATTAATGAACCATTGTTGTATCTTTCATGTCATACCTTTGTGTTGGTTTGATAATTTTGTTAAGTATTTTGATAATTTTTCACTTCATGGAAAAGAACCATACTAGGTTCAAAGAAGTAAAACACGATAGATCTTTGAGGAATATAATAGGATATAATGAAGGGTTTAATGAATTGGGAGGGAGGGGGTCAAGGGTCATATTTTGTGCACCCTGCATTTTTTTCTATTCTGGGATGAAGTTTGAAGCTTAAAATTGACACTCCCGTGATTGTCTCATGATATACTCATTCTCAGTTTGGTTGCTTTTACCCAAAAAAAGGAGTGTAATGAATCTTTTAAGTAATCATTATTCATTTGTAGCACTTTCTTCTGAATGAATCTTTTAAGTAATCATTATTCATATTATCAGTACAACTCTTACAATTTCCTTAAGTAATGAATCTTTAATGATCTTTAATGAATCTTTTAATAATCATTATTCATATGATTGAAATCGCTATCATTGAGGGGGGTACAACTCTTACAATTTCCTTATTATGTAGTGTAGTTCCTTTCTCTTCACAGTGCATAATTCCTTATTATTAAGTGTATTTAAAAAAACTAAAATATAAAAATGATTATTTCTATTATCAGTACAAGAAAGAAAGATGTTGACCTGTTTTAGAACTTAAATTTTCCTGGATTTCGTCCAAATATGCCAGCATTTAAAGAAACCAAAATTTAAAAATGATTAGTTCTACCATGTGTACAAGAAAGTGATATTAATTCTCTCTGTTTTGTGAATTTGCACGTACCCTTTTTATTCAACCTTTTTATTCCTTTTTCAACCTCTTCTTCAAAGTTAAGCTTATCTTCTTCAAACTATTCTTATAGATTATGTATTTTTTTTAGAAATTACTTCAAATAGGACTAAAACTATGGCAAAAACTCAAAATAGGACTTGCTATGTTTTTTATTCCAAAATAGGACCATAGTAGTCCTATTGGAAACATACTCATTTCTTCCTTCCATTCTTACCCCTCCTTTAAATATTAGTAAAAGATAGTTAAAAGTCATAATTAGATGTTTAATTCATAATAAATTTGAAAAAAAATTCAATAATTCGTAGAAAAATAATAAAAAAATTAATAAAATTTTTATAAAATAAAAAATAAGAAAAAAATTATTTTTTTTAATTTTTTTATTTTTTTTGAAAATTAATAAAAAATAGTAAAACTCCATTAAAAAAATTAAAAAAAATATGGATACCTTTCCCACCGCATGTACTACCTCCCTGAACCACCACCTCCGATCGGTGTAAAAAATGCCACTTTTTTTTAAATTCCACAAAAATGGCATATTTCTCTATGAGAATGCCAACATTTTCATTATGCCAACTTGAATCCTTTTGACTTTTGCCAAAAATATGGCATTTATAATTTTTTTGGCATTTTTTTACCCCGGTGACAGGAGGCGGTGGTACCGCCTCCCTGCACCACCACCTCCGACTGTTAAAAAAATGTCATATTTCCTACAAACTTCCAATTTTTTCGGAAAATGCCAAAAATATGGCATATTTCTCCTTGAGAATGCCAACATTTTTTTTCTTCCATCTTAAATCATTCTGAATTATGCCAAAAATATGGAATTCATAATAAATTTGGCATTTTTTCCCCAAATGACTAGAAGTGGTGGTGCTGGGGCGGCAGAGGCGGCGGTGACAAAAAAAATATTTTTTTGATTATTTTTAATTTTTTTATTTTTTTTTTAATTTTTTTTAATTTTTATTTTTTTAATTTTTTTTTAAAATTTATTATTATTCAAAATATTTTTATTAATTTTTTGGTATATTTTACGAATTTTTATTATGTTTAATTATTTTATTATGAATTAAAACATTCCAATAGGTATAAGGGTATATTTGTCCAAGACACACATAATTAGTCCTATGGAAATATAGTTTATTTTTTGGTCCTATTTGTGCAAAGTGAATGACTTTTAGTCCTATTTTGATAATTAACTCTATTTTTTTTACGAACTAAGCTTTTCCCTCACCCAGATTATTATAATGGCGCTTTTGTTTTCTTTTTCTTCGGTTTGATGAAGATAATTGCTCTATTTATCAAAATGCTTTTTAAATTATCTATTTCAATTGAAAAAAGATATCTGGAGGTTAGAATCCATTTATAATTAAGCAAACTCAGTATCCTGTCTAAATTTGATATGCTTAAATGGATATGCTTATTGTTAACACATTTCCTATTTTTGCTCTCTTCTTCTTCCTCGGCATTTGTATAAACTTTATTCTTAATCCGACTATCATTCCTATCTCATGAGGTATCTGGCGGCGCTCTAGTTAGTTGTGTTTTGACTTCCTTTTCATTCAAGGCTCTTTTTATTTTCGAGGTATCTGGCGGCACTCTAGTAGATGGACTTCTACTAACGTACTCGATAGTCCATCTTAGTCAATCTCCTCATTATTGGTTAGTGTAATCTCCTAATTATGTTTCATGTTTATCTTTGACATGCGGTTTTATTATTTGGAAAACTTTAGGCTAAAGTTATAAACTTACTTTTTATTGCAAGTTTTCTGGATGTGGGGAAAATAATGGTACTAAGGTTTTAGGACTTCTTTTGTGATAGTTTAGTCATTTTCTGCTCTCAATATAATCAAAACCTCTTTAAATTAAGAGGTTTTATTTTTTCTATTTGTTCTGCATTTTCCTTTCCGATTCTTTGACGACAGAGAGTAATGGAATGACTTTTTATATAACTTTACAACAATTTGAAGGAACAACCAAATTCTAATTGTTAATTACTACCGTTATCCTACTATGAAAATCACCAATGTTTTCATCCTTCTTCCAAGTCAACTTAATATACATTGCAAGATAGATATGTGATCTGTTCCAGATTTAGTCCCCATGTCACCATCCATCATGTCTTTATGGATTAAGAGCTTTTTCTTTCTTTTTGCCCTATGATTTGAGAATCATTGCTCCAAAAGGTTGAATCGCCAACCCCAAGCGCCCCCCACGCCCCGACCCGACAAGACTTTTGGGAGGATGTAAGTCACGGTGACTCAGTCAGTAGAGTGGCAGTAGGCCCATGCACCCGTGCGCACCAGAGGCCCAGCCTTATTTCAGGTTCTGTGATCTCCACTCGGCCGCTGCGGGGAGTGAAAAATACACCCTTTTTCACTCAGAGATAAGATTAAAAGGATTTTTAAAAATTTGTGAGAGGGAATTGGGGGGGGGGGGGGGGGCTGGAGTAATCAGGGCTGAAGCTCACTCCATTGAGTTTCCAACCCTTATGTGCCTAGCGGGATTCGAACTCCAGACCTCCCACTAAGCACGGTAACTTCACAACCAGTTGGGCTGGAATGCTTGGTTGCTATTTATTGGCAACTTAAATGTTTCAAATGATTTAAAATTGTGTTATTATAGCTAGATGTTTAAATAAAAAGCTAGATGTTTTTTCCTCGGTGTAATTGAAGGAACACGTAGAGTATTTAAGATTAATATTTTTCTAACTTGAAGTATGTCTTATTTTTCATGTTTATATATAGGCTCTTTGTGTAGGGATTGAAGTGTGAAAAAAGACACTTGGGTTAGGGGAGGAACTAGCAAATTCCATAGATAAGGCTCTTATCGGGAGTAAAAAATGGATCTTCAGGCTCAGTTTCATTGTGTCTGTGGGATCTCCAGATAATTTGCTATTCAAAAACTGCAGTTCAACTCAAAGGACAATTGAAACTGATATATCTAAGAGTAGTTGTTCTGAGTAATCTAATAATAAGTGCCTAGATTTGTGAAAATTGTAACCGTAACTCACTTTTTATACATGTTGATTGTTGTAGGCCTGCTATGTTGTTAAGTAGTTAAAAGTAATACACAAATTAGTTGATATCACGTATAATTACACAAAGTCATGATTGTTGATTTTAATTTAATAAAATTGATTGGGGAAAACTCAACCAATTCCTAAATAATTTTGTAATTTGTTACCCCGTGCAACGCATGAGTGAAAGACTAGTAATAATAAATGAAGTCTAGAAATGGAGGAGTTTTTCTGCATTGATGATCAGTGTGTTTATTACCATGAAGACAATAATATTCCACCTTTCTTAAGGTAACAACATCCGTATGGCGTCCATGGAAAGGCATTTCAATAAGAGATATTAGTGATAAAGAGATATTTTTTTACTAGAAAATTAGAAATGTATTCAGAAGAATGGATCGTGGTTAAGTTAGATTTAAAATACTCCATGTACGGAGTATGTCTTCCATGAGCTCGATTACCTAATCCTTCTCTTTTGACCTATGGATGAATGGAATTAATTAGGTTCATCAATTCTCATATCTTCATGACTTATTGTGTGAGCTCTAATCCGCAAATATCAGTTTCTTTAATTCATTACTTTTTCAATATTTACTAATTCTGTTTTCAAATAATGTAATCTAAGATGTAATAGCGTATTATTAATTTATTATTAGTATTATTAAGGACTTATGTGTAATTATTTATTCCATGATTAGTATAAATACACCTCTAGGGCTACCACATTGGTAAGCCATTATTCCCAATTATTATTATTTCACATGGTGGTGGGGGCGCGGTTATGGTGGCCAGAATTATGGCGGACAGCAGCAGCCTCGAGGTCCTCCTATGCAGGGGTACGGTGCACCTCCAGCGCTATCCAGTTGGCAGATGGCTCCTCCCAACTATGCTCCACGTGGACCGCAAGCTCCTGGGTTTCAAGGTACGATTTTAAGTAATTCTGGTCGTGTTATAGTCAATATAAATGCTTTATTTGCTTGTGTTACTCACCCTACTTTTGTAGGTTTTCCATTAGTTGAGAATTCTTTTCAGTCCCCCCACCACCCATAGTGTGTCAGATATGTTTTTCTCCTGGTCATTCTGCTTTGGCTTGTCCTCGTTTTGTCAACTCTACTGCTCCAGCATTGGCGGCTCTTCCCACAGGCGAATCAAATGAATCTGTTTGGTACCCCGACTTTGGGGCTTCGGCTCATATGACTCTGTCTGAAGGTATTTTATTAAATAAATCTATTTGCAATGGATCACATTCTGTTCAAGTTGCTAATGGTAATAATCTACAAGTATCTCATTTTGGCAACATTCATTTGACTACTTCTGGCCGTCCGCTAGCTTTAAATAAAGTTTATCATGTTCCGCAACTAAAATATAATTTATTATCTATTTAACGATTATGTGCGGATAATGATTGCTCAGTAATTTTTAATAAATATTCCTTTTTTGTTAAGGACAATCACACGGGGGCCATCCTTCTTCAAGCCACCAATAAAAACTGTGTCTATCCCTTTACAACTGTCCATCAACCTGTTCCCTCTCTTGCCCTCAAGACCACACTTGTACCAGGACCCGTTTGGCATAAAAGACTCAGACACTGTGGGGATCACATTTTCCGGATAGTTGTCGCTCCACTACAGGTTATGCTATTTTCCTAGGTGGAAATTTGGTATCATGGCGTTCCAAGAAACAACCCACCGTATCCAAATCGTCTACAGAAGCGGAATATCGTGCAGTTGCATATACCGTTCAAGACACCTTATTTATTCGTTCCCTTCTATACGACATGGGCATTACACTTCCTAATCCGGTGCAGTTATTTTGTGACAACGTCTCCGCATCTTATCTTGCAGTAAATCCTATTCAGCACGACCGCAACAAACATATAAAAATTGATTATCATTTTGTTCGTGAATGAGTGGCTCATGGCGATCTGTTGGTCAGATACATTCCTACTCAGTATCAGCTGACGGATATTTTTACCAAGAACTTAACTAGTCAGCGTTTTGAATTTTTACGTTCCAATCTGCACGTGATTTCTCCCGCACAGATTGAGGGGGTGTAATAGCGTATTATTATTAGTATTATTAAGGACTTATGTGTAATTATTTATTCCATGATTAGTATAAATACACCTCTAGGGCTATCACATTGGTAAGCCATTATTCCCAATTATTATTATTTCACAAGATGAAGGGTTTTTATTCTCGCTAATCAAGTCAAAATATTTCTTCGTGGTATGAGAACTAATGTATTTTAGATAAGGGAAAAGGTGCAAATAGGCCCATGTACTAACCAAAAAAGGTCAAATAAGCCCTTATTTAGGAGGCTCTGTCCGGCCGTCGTCATTTGGGGTGGTTCCCGGTTGAATTTTTTGATGAAATTTTTTGAGCATCTTATTCATTAAGTCTAATTTACTCATACCAAATTTTTAAATAACAATTCAAGTCTTGTGTTTTTGTTCGGGAGTTTATGACTATGGAAATAATGAGAACTACCTAATGGTTTACAAACTTTTCAAGTCGGTGTTGGGATTGTCGGCAACTATAGGCATTAGTTGAAAGGTTATTTCAACCTTTATATTGAAATTATTAAAATTTGACAACCAAATGAGATGATAGATGGGTTCAAGGGAGGATCTATGGGAGGATCAGAGTAATTTAGTTTTAAAAAAAATTAGTCCAAATCTTTTAATTTTTATATTTAGCTCACCTCACTAATGTTTTTAAAAGAGCGTTGAGTTGCCAACCAATAGGGAAATGCGAAAAGAATTCAAACTAACCGTTGAGATCGACTTGAACCGGCCGATTTTGATCCCGACATTCGTATATGTGGGACCTTGTACCCTATACTACTTAGGTTGTACTAGGTTTGATATTGGAATGTGACCGTAGTTTCGGTCTTCTGGACGATCATATAGCCAGGTGAAAAAAATTGATGAACATGTTTTCAGATTTGAAAATGGAAAATTAAAAAATGAAAACAGAAAATTGGAGATACAAAAAATGGAAAATGAAAACAGAAAATTGGAGAACGGAAAACAGGAATAGAAAAATGGAAATATCTCTATTATTAGTAAATAGACCCTTATATTTCAAACATGTTCGGATGTTTTTTACTTGGACTGTAATCTGTCCCAGACCAGAACAGACCAGACTTAGATAGTTATAAAAATACAAAGAGACCAGACATTACCAGACCAGACCATATCAGACCAAACCAGGAAATTACAGTCCAAGTTTTTTTTTTTTTAAAGAAATTTTATTAGATAAAAGGAAGTTGGGTACAATGCATGAAAGAAAAAAGAACAGAAGGGAAAATACAATAAAATAAAAGACTATTCCCATGGGAATTTTTTGGCCTGCGATCTAGTCCGCATGCTATGGCGCCGTTTATTCTTCTGTGATTTTTTGTAGATCTTAAGTTGCGTGTTCAGATTCTCTGTTGGCAAACAAGTGTCCCGAGTGATGAATTGTGATTTAAAGCAAGTAAAAACATCCTAACATGTTTGATGATGCATCTAAAAACGTAATCACCTGTCTCTCAAAAATATGAAGGAGCTGTTATGCTTCAAAAGTAATTACGGTTCTTACAATCACTGGCGGAGCCAGACATTATGTTAAAGGGACCGGTCCTTAACAATTTTACATTGCAGAGGCCAAAGTGTAAAATATCAACATACTTTTTACAGATTAAAATTAGTTATACATAATATATACTTAAGAATTTTTTTTCTTGCACGGACCGTGGCCACCTCCAGCCCCCTCCCTGTCTCCACCCGTGCTTACAATCTCTTTCGTCATTTATGCTATTCAAGTTTTTGTTTAGAGCTTTTATGCTTCACAATTCAGAAATTAGTTTTTGGCCATTGTTCATTTGGAATCCTGGATCCGGACTGAACAAGATGTTATTGTGCAACAAGGTTAAGAATAATCCAAAATCAATAGAGTTCTATGGAAAAGAGGCTTTGTGAAATACGAGTATATGAACTATGAATTAGGTATAGTGTACTCCGTAATTCTTATTCAATTATTCCTAATATTATACCTCGAATTAAGTGAATATTCCACATGCAAATTTGAGTTGTTATAGCTCATGTCATTGAATGTCATTCAATATGCGAGGTGATTTCCATTCTTTGGGGGGAGTAACCATAAAAAGGGATTTAATACACCAAACCCCCTTGTCAAGTGCGGAGCCAGGATTCGACGATAGGGGGGCGGGTCAAGAATGAACGCAAGCAGTAAAATGTACTACGGTATACTTCGAGCTCGAAACAAAACCGTATAGATTTATTTTTTCACTAATTAAAGATGACTTAAGTAATAAATTTAAAATTATATATATGATATTTCTATCAACCTTATATAATAATACTATGTATCACTTTAATTTAATACTACATATAATATATATTATTATAAAGTTTATATTGCATGTATATTAACATATAACATGTATACTTGGCCCCTCCCAAGTATTTTATTTTTTAATAGTATTATTAGTATTATCTAAGTATTTCATATGTCCGTTTTAATCTTTTACGAGTAGTTAGTATTTATCTGTTTATTCATATGTCCTTTTAATTTTTTAGTTCATGGAATTTATCTTCCAGTAATTTATTTACGTATTACTTGTGAATGGTTTTCAAGTTTTCCTTTTCATTTGTAATTTTTTAGTACTTGCTTGATAATTTAGTTGTGTATGGACAATTATATGTTATACATGCATTATAAACTTTATAATAATATAAATTATATGTAGTATTAAATTAAAGTGATACATAGTATTATGATATATGGTTGATAGAAATATCATACATATAATTTTAATTTATTACTTAAGTCATCTTTAATTAGTGAAAATATAAATTTATAAGGTTTTGTTTCGAGCTCAAAGTATATGTAGTACATTTTATTGCTTGCGTTCATTCTTGACCTGCACCCCTATCGTCAAATCCTGACTCTGCCCCTACATATAACTATCCATACACAACTAAATTATCAAGCAAGTAAAAAAATTACAAATGAAAAGGAAAACTTGAAAACCATTCACAAGTAAAATACGTAAATAAATTACTGGAAGATAAATTCCATGAACTAAAAGATTAAAAAGGACATAGCAATAAGCAGATAAATACTAACTACTCGTAAAAGATTAAAAAGGACATATGAAATACTTAGATAATACTTATAATAATATTAAAAAAAATACTTGGGAGGGGCCAAGGCCCCATAACCTTGTTGATAGTTCTGTCCCTACCCCTTGTGATATGAAAATTCGGCGTATTAGCCCCATGTGATTTGTAAAATGCGTGAAACCCCCTTGTGTTTTAATTAATCATGTACAAAATCCCTTTTATAAATAAATTCGATTGTCAAATAAAAGAAAAATGATCAACATTTTTATATGATTTAGAGATTTTGACATATTTACTTGCATATTCAATCAAAATATTAGGAAAAGTGATTTCCAAATAGTTGAATTTATTCATAAAAGAGGTTTTGTGCATGATTAATTAAAACACAAGGGGGCTCATACATTTTTCAAATCATAGGGGGCTAATGCGCCGAATTTTCATATCACATGGGGGGTTTGGTGCATTAAACCCCATAAAAAGTACTCTGTATAGTGTAATAAATTTTCTAATAATTTTACATAATTGTTTAATTACCACATAAAATATAGACATTTTACAAATTTGATGTAGACCTGGAGCAAGTATGCCCCTAACTCTATGCCCTTGTCATTGAGCAAATTTTGTGTAGACATTTTACATTAAATTGATACTCCCTCCGTCCCGTAAAATTGTTCCCACATTGATTTGGAACAGAGTTTAAGAAAGTGGGAATAAAGTGAAAATGTATGGTTGTGGTTGAGTAAGAAAAAGGTAAATGAATTGTAGCCACAAAAAACTTTCCAAAAGGGGAAAGTGGAACAATTTTTTGGGACGACCCACAAAAAAAACCGTGAACAATTTTCTGGGACGAAGGGAGTACATAATTTCGACACATACTCATTTGACATGTATATAATTGGATAATGAAAAGTTACTCAACTTTTATTTTACACAAATAGTATATGTATATGCTACGTACCTCCGTCCTAAATTGATTTGCAAATTTGAATTTTCTTGGTCAAACAGTTTTGTTTTGTTCGCTTAATTAGAATGTCAATTTTTAATTATATTCTAATTTGATGTCAACAACTTTGAAGAGATTTTAATGTAGTTTATGAATATGTAAATTTTAATTATTAAAAACTGAGTTAATTATCCGTAAATAGGGTTGACTTTTACTATTGGTTAACAATAAAATGTTACTATTCAATCCGATAAAGAATGTACGCAAATAGTGGACCAACAAAATGTATATATAGAGTTATTGTTGAGAAATTGAGATATACTCCGTATATGTCTATCATCTTAATTTTATGCGCCACATATATGTATATGCTATTAACAGGCTAAGGATATGCGGTTTGAAAACATATCGTTTTTTCCCCATTTAGTCAATAGTAATAATAATTGTTATACTTAAAATGAATCTAAAACAAACCTACAAAAGACTAGGTCGTTTACCAGTTACCCTTTATATTCTTCTTGTAAGTTTACATTGGTTTGGCAATAAATATAAATCGTGGAAAAGGAAGACTTTTGGGTAACCTTTAAAGATAAAAAAAAATGAAACCGTGTAGTCACGAGTATAAGCTGTGTCCAAAACGTTATTACAAATTTCCGTAATTCGAGCGCTGGAAAGCTATGCCAAGTTAAAGTCATCATGACGAGTCACTCCCATACACATGATAATTCCGTGTAATTGACCTCTAATTCTTACATGGTACCATAATTCAACGGTATATTATCATTAATATTATAAAATAAAATAAAAAATCATATATGCACTAACAAGAATGGAAGAAAAATAACACATTTGTCGGTATACAGTTTCTCCATCCTACCTTCTGATATGTTTTGGACTATTAGTGCTCAGAGCTTCTCCATTCATGATCTCTAATATCAATTTTTTCTATGATCCTTACTATTTAAATATTATTATGTAATTAATTTTAAAATAATCTCAAATTTCATTTTTGTCTCTCAATCATCATGTTAAAATAATCCGTTTTTTCTTTGTCCTGCTTTAATTTCTATTACAAATACTTTTAAAATAATCTTAAAGCAATTAGAATTCATATTTTGATCCCAGAT